TTGGTCACTGATTTGTTTTTGTTTTGTTTTTGAATGTCAGAAATGTATATTTGTGAATGTTGAGATGTTATATTGGTTTCACTGGTAATAATAAATAATTGAAATGGGTATATATTTGTTTTTTGTTAAGTTGCCTAATAATTATGCACAGTAATAGTCACCTGCACACACAGATATCCCCCTAACATAGCTATAACTAAAAACAAACTAAAAACTACTTCCAAAAATATTCAGCTTTGATATTAATGAGTTTTTTGGGTTCATTGAGAACATGGTTGTTGTTCAATAATAAAATTAATCCTCAAAAATACAACTTGCCTAATAATTCTGCACTCCCTGTATGAGCCTGTCTCATTCCACCTTTACTGAGGGCACTCTTTGTTTTTCTTATGATAACATTAACCCAAAGTCCTACCATACTCTAGAAAGTTAATTTTCTTTGTGTAGCTGGTTGGGGTGTTAAAAAATCTTGATAGACATCGTTCTCTTAGCATGTAATCTCAATCATAAAGATGAGTTATATTATCTGCTAAGCATCTATTTTTAAACTAATGCATAGTCAAAAATTTTGCTGTAACTTTTTACCACAGCAAAGCTGTATCTATTTGTTTTCTAAATGCTTGCTTATACTGTTGTGGTAATGCAAGCCTGTTTTGTAATAGTATGCACAGCAAAAATAAAGAATTAGTTTTTTTTAAATAAAAAGTATCTGCCAGCGTTGCTGAGAGTAATTTTTTCCATTCTTCTTGGCAGATTTGCTCCAAGTGATTCAGGGTTTTTGAGTAGTGATTGTAGATTGCAATTTTTGAATAGTGGCTCAGATGCTCAATTGGATTAAGATCTGCACTTTGATGGGGCTGCTGTTAATTATTCAGATCTATGTTCATTAATGTTCATCAGTGTTCTGCTGAAAGGGAACTTTCTTTCAAGCTTCAGTTTTTTAGGAGACTGAGCAAAAGTTCTGCAGTATTGCCAAGCTCTGCTGATAAAAAGCATCCCGACAGCATAATGCTGCCACTACTGTTCTTCACTCTTGTGTGTTTTGAGGTAAGGGCTGTGTTTCATTTGCACCACACATATACATTGGAATTGTTGCCAAAAAGTTCTATCTTGTTATCATTTGACCACAAAATTGTTTTCATATGTTATACAAGACAGTCTTGAGTTTCTTAGCAAACTCCAGATGTACTTTCATATGACCAATTTTATATGAAGACCCCTCCCTAGTCATCATCCCATACTGGGCAGTTTGAAACAGAGCTTTTGAAAATTGCTGAATAGTGCATATTATTCCAATCTCAGTCACTGGCCTCTGTAGGTCATTTACAGTGACTGATGGCTTTTCCTTGACTTCCCTCACACATCGTTTTCCTTTCTTTGTCACTGAGTGTTTGAGGATGACCCCTTCCTAATAATTGGTGTAGCCTCTACTAAATAATTGCTCCAAACAATCTGTTATCACTTATCCCAAATGTGTACTTTGAGTATTCGGTCTCCCACTGGTGTAGAACCAACTTTCTTTTCCATTGTCTCTCCAACTTTCCTACATATCTGCAACTTAACCAATCATCCTTATCCAGAGTGGGACTTTTATTGTTTTATTAACATTTCACAAGTAGAAGCCAATTGTTAGCTTTGGGGCAGTTTTTTTTTTTTTTCAGCTGTGTAAACATGGGGCTTTCAAAGCAGATTGATTAAATATTTCTGAAAACTGTGTTTTAGTTTTTCCTTTTCTTCAAAATATTTTTCAACCTAAACACCTTGAAAATTCCAGCTTTTCCCATTTATTTTATTTTCCCAGCCTTATGTTTCTACCTCTTCATTTTTATATTTTCATATTCACTTACCTGATCTATCCTTCCTTGCCTACAAGCTTATATCTGCCTCTTTTGTTTTGTCTTTCCAATTACCGCATTTGATGTTACATTTACATTTCCTATCTTTTAGCCTCATTTCTCAATTTCTTCCCCAATATTTATTGCTTTATCTCCTTCTATCTTCAAACCTGTCTTTCTCTTCATTCATAAGCAATCTGTAGCTTCAACTTCTTCTGAACTTCTCATCCAGTTTCTAGTTTCGTATTTTCATGATTCTACTTCATTCAAAATGCATTACTGAACATAACATCATGTTTCATAAACTCTACTTATAATAGCAAAAATTGTACCATGGGAGAGAAGACTTCAGATATATGATGCTATGATCAAGATTTGGCTCTTGATTCTCTCCTCTCTGTCCTTCTTCTTTAAGATGATTGACGGTAGACAGTGGCAGAGATCGATATCTTCTAAATATTTCACAGTTGTCTCACATAAGGGATAATTAGTTTTATTACTATTATCTTTTCTGTTTTAAAAATATACCATTAGGTGTATAACTTAACAACTAGGAATACAACTATAGCCTTCAAGAATTTTCCACTTTATACACATGATCTATTGGTGACATGGTTCATTTCTTCCCCATATTGCTGAATATATAACTGTCATTTGTCCCCATGAAAAAATGATATATTCCATGTCACAGTACATGGGAAAGGTACATTTATTCATACCTAATGTATATAGTTCATAAACAAATGCCACATATGTGCCTTTGCAACTAAGCCCATTTCTCAGTATTTGTCACAGCGAGGTGACAAGATTTTAATCACATATGTGCCACCTAATTATTTCTTGCTACTTGTCTATACATACACATATGTTTGTTAATCTATTGCTTGTTTTTCATAGTAATGACAGATACATGTTTGCCCTAGTATAGTTTAGATATTTATAGCAAAATTAACATCTGCTGTGAAATAAAAATCTAAATTAGCAAAACTCATGAAAAATGTTCTCCATTTTCAAATAACCTTTTACCTAATAATTAGTACCTAACAGAAGGCTGAAATCACTCACATATAAAAAGCATTTGGTTGACAAAAATATTATAACTTGTATGTACTTTAATCTGGTGTTGTAATTAATTACAATTAAACTGTGCAAACCTAATCTCATCATTCATTTACAACTTTATTTACAAAAATTAATTTGCAATGTATGTTTTAATGCATATCCTATTGTTTTATTATTGACATTTACTAATCAAATTAAATGAAAAAATAGTGTTGTGTTACTTAATGGCTAACATAGCTTTGAAAGCACCCTAGGGATAATTACTATTAATGCTCATATTCATTATGTATTATTATAGTGTTCCTTTAAGATTATGTGCATATACATTACCAAACCCTGAGCTATACTTCTGCCTGGGCCCTAATTGTATATATAATGTATATATAATATTTCCTGATCAAACATGGCAGCATTTGCATAGGGGCTAGATGCTCCCCTTACAGCAGAAATGACAGGAAATAGAACTCTGAAATTGATAGAAGTAGATCTACCCAATCTCCATTAGACAGTCCTTTTTTCCTGTCCTTCACATCACCTTGTAAGAGGTTTTGTAGGCCAAGCCAGGTTTCAGTCTTTAATCCGTGAAGATGCAGCCGATCACAGATATGTAAGAGTTGGCTACCTTTTAGTGACAGGGGTATGAACTAACTCTCTTCCTGAGGGAATGACAGCAGTACACTGGATATATGAGGCTAAGCCTCTTTCCCAGAAGACAGTCAACAGCACTTACATACGATGACTTCCTGGGTATGCCTTTTTTATGTGTACCGACATTATCAGGGCCTGTTTTAAATATTCCCCCCCCACTGGTGATGATAAATGGCATATAGGGTATGTGTGGAATCATATAGTTTAAACAGATTAAGCTGTCAGGTGCTCAATTCCATATTTCCTGTCTCCATGGCTGTTTCATATGTTTTCCCACCTCAGGTAAGTACATTAGTAATTTAGATTAATGACTAGTATAAGTACTTGGGTTTCCGCTTTTCAGTTCCTCAAAGTTGATTACATTTGGCATCCGTATAACAAAAAGATCACATTTAGGATGTTTATATGTCCAATAATGCATTTTACAAAGTAATTTATATCCTGGCTGTATAATGTCTGACTGAATACCACAGTCCTGAAGACAGAGAAGAGGCCAATACCCACGGCAAGAGAAAGATTCCCTAGGTTACTGATTGAAATTCATGCAGACACTTGTTCTTACCAACGCATGTGGCATTAATTGCATTGGTAAGAACATGTGGCATTTGCATGTGCATTCCCTTATGCCTTATGAAACCACATGCTACCTGTTAAAAAAATTAATAAATAGCCTGGACACAGAGAAGGTGACAAATTGAAACACTCCCCCCCCCCCGCAGGTACTGCCTGGGGCCATTGCCCAAACCAAACCCATTTTGGGGCCGTCGTTGACTATGTGCTCTTTGTATGAGTGGTTGTGAAGCACAGCCTCAGTATATATGTCCACTATATGCTCTATGTATGAGTTAATGTGAAGATACAGCTATCGTATGTCTGAATGATTTACATACAGCCTCTATAGATAAGTCCAATATAATCTTTGTGTATGGTATGTTGTGAAGACAACATATAACTAAACTAGTGTAATTTTCCTTCATCCTCTATTCACCCAATTGCAGTTCCTATACCTTGCTACAGCCCTTTACTTGGTGGTCATTTAAAAAAAATAAAACACACAATCTCATAGGGCAATACAGTTGGTAAAATTAATTTATAAGGAGAAAAGAAAAGGCTCAAAGGTATCACAATCACATTGTCTACAGCCTGTATATAGTACTGGCTCACGTATATGGACTTGAGTGTGATATGGGGGTCTTTCACCAGGATTTACTGATAGCAGGTTTAATCTTCAGAAGTAAAATGTTGGAGAGAAGCATCAAATGTAAGATAGAGTATCAAATTTATTTATACAACAAACATTAAATCCTTACATCCCAATTTGCTTGGTGCCATAAAAAGTCCAGAGTCTTAGCAGTCTGCGTCTTCCTCAGGTGCTGAATACGTGATGCTGCTAATGTCCCCCTTTTTAAATCCTTAAAATTGGTGCCGGAATTGGCATTTCTGTTATCCGTGATGTTACTTCCGGTTCTGTCGGCCAGATGGAGTCACCATCTTGGTACACCCTAAGGTGTACCATACCATATCCGGTTTCTGCCGGAACAATGTCATTTCCAGTTTTACCTGCTGGACCCTGTGGCCATATTGGTACACCCGAAGGTGTAACACGTCATTTCCAGTTTCGACCTGAATAGCTGAATCAGCCATGTTGCGGCTGTTGAGTTTAACTTGTCACTGCCTCTCTCTGCATCCGTAGCTTTTGTCAGAATTGCCACGGCAGCCATCTTGGTCCTCCTTTTGGCTTCTTATTTTATGTACAACAATTGGAGCACCCATATTGGGACTCCAGAAACAACTTCCAAAGTGACTTAGTACAATGTTAAAAGAAGATATGCTCCATATATCCATATTGTATGTAAAGGGAGAAAACAAAAGGGTGTGCGGGGGAGGGGGAAACAATTAGAGGGAATATATATGTATAAATATAATATAAAAAATATATTAAAAAAACTTTTAAAAACTTTACAAAATACCCAGATATAATTATACATTTCAAAGTCTATATTTTACCCTGTAAGGACCAAACTTCTGGAAAAAAAGGGAATCATGACATGTCACACATGTCATGTGTCCTTAAGGGGTTAAACCTTCTGGCGAGAGGGTTTCCAATTAGAAAATACACTTAATTTCTGTCTTTTTTAGCAATTTCAAATGACCCCCCCCCCCCTTCTCCAGTGCTTATCTATTTTTTTGATTACCAATAAAACATAATGAGCTAAAATCACCATTATGAGCTTGATTAAAATGAGCTGAAACAGAATGTGTTTAAACATTATTTTATATATTCCTAATATGCTCATTAATTCTTGATATTCTTGATAGTAATAGCTACATAGACAAAAATATCTGCCACTTCTCTCCGTGTTTAACGAATATCTCTAAAGGTCAATTTACCAGGTTGAAGAGAAATTGTAAAGATGAAGGTACATTTGTAGAACAATCATAGAAATTAAAGAAACTATTTTAACAGGATACAAAAAAGAGGAAGGGGAAGGACAATTTTTGGAAATGTATTAAAAAAAAGAGAAGAACTATTAAAATACAGAGAGAAACAAAACCTCGGAATAGATGAGCAAATTAGTTTTATTTCCCATTTTTTTTTTTTATTCTTTATTTTTGGTGCGCAAAGAGTACATACAATAAGTTTTCATCGCCACAATAGCATAGCAAACCATGCATTTTCAAACAATTGATAACAGTAATATGGCGTTTGTTTAACATTTTTGTTTTAGTTGAGTAAAACTTGCTAGTCAGGTACTTATAAGATAATTGTAATTACGTTAGGTCACATTAAAGGCTTAACTTGTCAATGGAAATAAGTAGAGAAGGCACAATGTAGTATGCAGTGACAGCAAATATATGATTACGTTTGCATATGAGTTGTGTCTAGTATACATGCCTTTCATCGCTAGTAAAACATGCTGAGCTAGAATGGTAAGTAATAAGGGCCCTTTGGCCCGTGCATGACAGTTTAAGGAAACAAATATGTTAAATATGTTGAACGAGCAGACTAACTTGTAGGGTACATTGAGTCCTGTGTGTTAAGAGTGGTTAAGTTAGGCTAAAATAAAACGTAAACATAAGCTTAAACATAAACCGATAGACATATCACAGATTTTAGCATAAGTTCGCTATTTTGCTATAAATGAGTAGCTGTATTGCCCTCTGTGGGCAGGGGGGCATCGGAGGTAGCCAACTGGGCCTCGGAACGGATCCATGAGGCCACCATTCAAGCTGTTTGAGAGCAGGGTACTCCCCTGTCGCACAATGCCTTGTAAAAGCTCATGCTGAGCCGGTCTGGGGCTGTGAGGGGGTGAGAGTGCATATGGCTGCCAGTGTTCTCCCATCCTGGGCTCTGCTGGGCGGCCATCTTGGATGTGCTCTGGTAAGTCCGTGCCTCTGCAGGCTGTATAGCCGTGGTCTCTCGCTTGTGGTTTGTCTGCTTGTCTATTGGAAACCGGGATAACCCCCACCGGTCCAGTGGCGGAGAGAGCGGCCGCCTATCCCCTGCTCCAGCTGCCGCAAGCCGCAGATTGCATTTCGGGCTCCCATCTCGGCAGGCTGCAGCAAGGTAACTGTCGATTCAGTGGTGCACCCCCGACGTGGGTAGTGCACCCTGGTGTGTCTATGGACTATGTAGTTGCTGATTTAGCCTTAAATCTGGCCCTCCAGACAGAAACTCTTTCCCCGCACATCTGTTCCGCTTGGCGGTCAGACTCCGCCCCCCTCTTTTCCAATTTTAATACCCAAAGTCATGATCTTAAAAAAAATAAAAATTAAACAGACATTGCCACATTCTCAAACAGAACAAAGATTTAGATGTGTTTATTGGACAGAAACTAAAAATGGTGTGTAGAGGAGTGAAAAATTTAAAGCACGTACTAACCAAAATTTGTATTGCAAAAATGTTTTTAGAGGATAGGGATCTTACAGGCAAAGAGATACAAGTTTTTTTGTTTTTTTTAACTGTGGACAATGTAAAGCCTGTCGGATAACAAAAGCCTGTACTAAGAAGATGTATACTATATGTATTAGCTGATGTGTACTGTAGTCATTGCTCTCGCCCAGGAGTGATGGGAGTGAGCGCAGGACTTTTCATTTTGTATTTGTAGTCACTTTTTGTATCACACAGCTAGGTTACAATGCTGCCGCCCATACCATATGTTCCCTATTAAGGATTAACAAGTATATAGGGGTGTATAAAAAAAAAAATCCCCTTTCTGTCTCACTAGAGATATTTTTGCGAGAAGCTCAAGGAAGCAAGGTAAAGGGTCAGAGTAGGACCCGTCTAGGGGGGTCTGCCTTGACGTTGGAAGGCGGGCATTCCCTCCAGTGGCCATTGGAGTAACTAAATGACCTCAATTTGTTTAAATATACATAGGGATTAAGGAGAGAGCGCAGGTAACTTTTTTTTTCTTTGGCTTTTATTATTCATATTGTCTGGTGCCATCTTCAGCATCTACCTCTACAACAAAGAAGGGTAGTGTCCCCCTTAAAAGGTACCAAGCTGTTTTACTTGGAGCCAAGGTTTAAGGATCCTTAAGACGGTGAGCAGTTCAGTTATAGTTTGTGCACAAGTCCCTTTTTATGATCCGTACTTTACTAGAAGCTGTGGCTTCCCTGTGTTTTATTGTTTCCCCTCTTGAGTGTGCTCAACATAAAGACAGAAGAGGGCCAGTGTCACCATAGAACGCAACACTAGAGTGATTTGAGCCTATCCCGTTTGGCTCTTCACTTGTGAGTGATTCATTATCTATTATCCTGCCACGCTTTCTATATAAGACCTTATTGTACCATAGTGTCTCTTTCTGTCTATTACAGTTCTGATTATACAAGATATCCCTTATTGGATAAGGGTAAGTGTGTTACACATTGTAAATATTGTATAGCACTCCACTATAGGCACTGGTGGTAGGATCACCACTTAGTGCATTTATTTTCATTGCTTTATTCTGTGTGTATTTTGGGAGCAACTCACATAAGTGTGGTAGCAGCTTTTTATGTATAGAATTCCTTATTAACCATAAGCACAATTGTTATACACTGAACCTTTTTTACTTCAATATGGCCACAGCGTCCAGCAGGTAAAACCAGAAATGACATCATCAGGAGTTATTTTTTCGGTGGAAACCGATTATGGTAAGGTACACCTTCAGGTGTACCAAGATGGCGACTCCATCCGGCCAACGAAACTGGAAGTGGCATCACGGATAACAGAAATGCCGATTTTGGCACCAATTTCAAGGATTTAAAAAATAGAATACTTGCAGCATTAAGTATTCAACACCCGAGGAAGACGCAGACTGCATCAGAAAGTGTTGTGCTAAGACTGTGGACTTTTTAGGCGACAAGCAAATTGAGATTTAAGTTTTTATGTTTGTTGTATAAATACATTTGAAACTTTATCTTTCATTTGGTGCTTCTCTCCAACTTTTTACTTCTGAGGATTAAAGTTGCTATCAATATATCCTGGTGAAAGACACCCCATCACACTTAAGTGCATATACCTGAGCCAGTACTTTATACAGGCTCTAGAAAATGTGAGTATGATACCTTTGATCATATTCTTATCTCATTATACATTAATTTTACCAGCTGTATTGCCCTATGAGATGGTGTGTTTTACATTTTTTAGTGACCACCAAGGAATTTCTTAAAGGGGTATATTTACATATTTTATGAGATATATCACTCTTTTCGGTACTCTGTCATAAATTTTATCATTTGTATTGCGCTGTTCACCTTCTTATCTCTGTGTGTTTATGTTTTATTGTGAAACTTCTGTGATTGGTTTCACGGTGGTAACAAACCCCTATTACAGTCTCTTGTTACCACTGAAGCCATATCCTCCATTACAGTTCCTACCTCAAAAAGTAGATACTGTCAACCACTACACTACAGACCCTACCCCCAAATGCAGCCCCTAACACTCCTACTACAGCTATTAACCCCCCAATATAGCCCCCAACTTCCTACTACAGCCCTTATAAACAAACAGCAGGCCTTATCCATATTGCAGCTTCCAATCACCCTACTACACCCTACTACACCCTACTACAGTCCCTTACACCCATTGGAGCCATTGCAGCCCCTATCCCCCACTACAGTCCCTACCAACTGTAGCTCCTAACCCCCACTACAGTCCCTAACCCCAAATGTGATCCTTAAGAGATCAGACCCACCAGATCGGAACCTACATTGATGCTTATGTAGGCAGCTGGCCGTGATGGTTTCTCAATCCACTTGGTTGATCATGATGGAATTTGCCCTCATGATTTACATAGTAGATATAGAGGCACTTTTTGGATTACACCTCATGGTGGGTTAGGAGCTGTAGTGCTGTAGCTGTAATCGAAAAAGTGCATCTATATCTACTATGTAGATCACGAGGGCAAATCCCATCATGATCAACCGAGTGGATTGAGAAACCATCACGGCCAGCCGCCTACATAGGAATCAATGGAGGTTCCAATCTGGTGGGTGTGAACTCTTAAGGATCACATTTGGGGTTAGGGACTGTAGTGGGGGTTAGGAGCTACAGTTGGTAGGGACTGTAGTGGGGGATAGGGGCTGCAATGGCTGCAATCTCTTCCCGATACTCCGCCAATCAAGGCTTAGCTTCATCAGGAGACGTATATTTTCCCCTC